CCTGTATATATATATATATATATATATATATAGCATGCAAATAAATGGACATAAAACAAATTCAGTAAACTCACCCGTGTCACTCAGTAAAATTTATTGTAGAATTGAATCACATTTTCACCAGCATTCTAGTAATCCCACGTTTACACAAATCGCAACAGGTCTTCGTACAATATACTTACCAAAGAGAGAAAAAAGCTGCACCAACAATTTCTAGATCTGATTTGAAAAAAGAGCATCATTTGTCATTAAAATGATTGTCACCGTGAAGGTTGCTGAAGTATAAGACTAAAAAACAGCGAGTAGGATGGGCTTCGACAGACTGAGAGCAGTGCAGTGCAGATCCTCCGTGATCTGGAGGTCACACAGAGGTCAAAGGTCAGACGGACCGACCGAGGCATCTGCGGCTTTAGAAGTTCATGCTGTCACACTCACACACACACACACACACACACACACACACAAACACTCACACACACACACACACACACACACTCTCACACACACACACACTGACCTGAACAGCAGTCTCTGTCCCGGCTCTTTCCTGATGATGTTGAGTTTGTAGTAATGTCTCAGCGCACGCGACATCTTCTCATACGTCATGTTGGTCCTGTTCTGTGTGAGCAACACATCACAACACTAATGCATTTCAGCTCAGGAAACATTACAGCAGAGCAGAGGCCAGGCTTATTATCCTTAACTAAAACCATCAAAAAATCAATAAATAAAAATGAACTGAAATAAAATAAAATATATTGTTAAATTGTTAGCTAACAAGTTGCCAAGGCAATATTTAATTTTCGTTTGGTTTAATTTGAAGTACTAAAACAACTAAAACTAAAAACTTAAACTTAACAAACTATATAGGAAAAAAAGATTATATAGACATTATACACTATAAAACTATATAGACATTACAAAAATAATAAAACAGACAAAAACACGCAACAAAATTACTAAAACTTCAACGAAAATTGAAATGGAAACAGAAACTAATTCAAAATATGAACAAAAACTATAATAGCATATAAATGATACCAAATTAAAAATGGTATAGATACAACTTCTATTCACTACAGTTGTTTCCATGACTACTCCACAATTTAAGATTTTATTAATATCTATGATTTTTTTTAAATGACCAATTCCTTATTATTGGTTTTCATTTGAATTATTTTTAACATTTCATTAAATTGTAATGCTTGGTTAAACCTTTAATACTTAATATCTACATTTTTATATATTTTGTCTAAATATTTTGATATATTTTAATTTTTAAGTTAATTATTTTTTATATTTATTTTATTTTAATTCATTCTAATGTCAATTTTTATATTTAATACTTAATCTATTATTTTTAATGCAAGATTGTTTACTTTAATTTATAATTAATTTATTTTAGATTATTTTACACTAATGATTTAATTCTATTTTATCTTTATTTGTATTATTTAATTTAAATTTGTAATATTACACTTTAATTATTTTATTTTAACTTGTTCTAATGTTCTTTTATTCCATTTTTAATATTTAATTTAATAGTTAATATATTGTTTTTAATATTTGATTATTTAAATTTGTAATTAAACTTTATTTTACCTTATGGTTCCCCCACAGGCGGGCCAGGCCATTGGGGTCCATGATGCGGAAGACTTTGGTATTGCGGTCCTCCCAGCGGATGTAGTTTTCGTAGCGACTGTCCGACAGCAGCTGATAGACGTAATCCCACAGGAGCCTGCAGTCTGACACACAACACAACACAACACAACACAATCACGCAGAGGTGGGACCGAGTCACAAGCAAGTCTCCAGTCTTTGCATTCAAGCCCCGAGTCAAGTTGCAAGCCCTCAACTTCAAGCTTCAAGTGCTAAACAAGTCATTAGTGCTGTTTGCCCAAATCAGTGTCTCTGTATTAATTACTACAGTAAATGTAAAGGTAAACGTAAAACAGATGCTCATTTATCGCCACCTACTGATGTAGGTCTACACAAATATACTACCGCTGTCAAACGATTAAATGGCATCCAAAATAAAAGTTTTTGTTTACATAATATATGTGTGTGTACTGTGTATATTTATTATGCATATATAAATGCATGTATATATTTAAGAAAAATATGTTACGTTTATATATTTAAATATGATATAATTTATATGAATCTAAATATATACACGTAAATATTTTCGAAATATATGCTGTATGTGTGTATTTATATATAAAAAGGGAGTTTTTATCTCACGAGTCAGCGGTCTCATGAGTGACAAACAAGTGAAATGTTATTTCTCTGTAGATTATATAACAACAAGTTGGAAAACAGACAAAATGGAAAAGGTAAGAAGCATTATTTGAGAAAAGGGCATACTAATATAATAGGCGCAGACCTGTAACCCTTTATTTGACCCTCTAACTCTAGCACTCTCTAATTCTATTCTGAAAACAACAAAAACTTGCCCCTTTTAGACTTGCACTCTATTCATTTACTAACTGCTTGTTTTCTTAAAAAAAAATTTTTTATTTGATTTTGATTGCATTGGATAAAAGCATCTGCTAAATGACTAAATGTAATGTAATGTAAATGTAACAGAACTAACTTTACCCTGCGCTGACGTGATTTCCGATTTTTGTGAAAAATGCTAATCATGCGCCAGCCAGCACTGACCAATCAGCAGAGGGGGGCGGGGCCTCACCTGCGATGCGGCCGATGGGCGTGGCCTGCTCCTCGGGCGGAGAGACGGACATGATGATGTGATTGCGGTAGTGGCGCTCCTCCTGCAGGGGGAGCTGGAGAGGCGTCTGATGGGTGAAGTGTGCTTGACCTTTGACCTCGCGGCCATTCTCCTGAGGCGTTCTCCTGAAGTCCGGGCTCAGCAACGGGTGCATGATGGCGCTGGGCATGAGCTGGATGACGCGCGGCGGAGCCTCCTCCAGAAGCACGCAGTGGCCGTTAGCCGCGGATGGAGACACGGACAGCGGATACACGTCGTCCAGCAGGTGGTGGTTGCTGTCGGGCAGCTGTGCGGATGCCTGCTGGGGGTCCTCGACCGAGCGCAGGGGCGCGGGCGGATGATGGGGCGAGCGATGGCGCAGCTCGATGGTGGGAGGATGCAGGGAATGAGCGTCTGCGGCGCGCGGCGGCCGGCGTACCGTTTCTGACACACAGAGAGAGAGAGAATCAACATCAGAATCAAATAAATACTCACACACACACGCACACACACTCACACACACACACACACACACACACACACACACACAC